GCGTCCGAGGGGCCTCGACCGGTGACGGACGAAGCTGGGGGGCGTCCCATGGGGCTGGGCGTCCAAGAGAGGGGCTCGCGCGCGGCAGGGCCGTGTCGCGTCGACCCCGGCGCTGGTTCCTGACACCGCGGGGATCGCTCCATCATCTCGAGCGGTCGGCCGTTCCCGCAGCGCCCGACCGTGGAGCAGCGACCGATCCTGGATCCTGGGACGCGGGCGGCGGGGTCGCCGCTGGTCGACACGACGCGAACCTACCGCACGAAGAGTCTCTGGCGCAAGGTCCCTGCGTGCAGCCGAGGACCGGGGCGCCGACCGCCGCGCGGGAAGCGACGCAGGCGGCCCCAGCCCTGGGCTTCTACCAGCAGCTGGGCTCCACGGCCAGGGTAAGCTGGAAGGGCCCAGGGGGGGGGAGGGAGAGGCCGAGCTGAGCAGGGAGCGGCCGTCCTGGCATCCCTGTAGGCCTGCAGCGACATGTTCTCAGAACGAATAAACGATAGGTCTCATCACAGAGTGGAGTCCTCATAACGTGAATCGCCAATGTGTGAACACAAGACGTTCTCAAAACAAGAAGTGTTCTGAAGCAGTGCGTGCAGGCCACAGAAAGAGTTCCCTAGCGGGCTGACGGGTCAGCCAGGACGCGCCGTCACTGCTTGACCCAGGGCGCGCACTGCGGCGGCGAAGGCCCTCAGACGGGCCTCGGGCTGCACAGCCCGTCTACTACAGAGGCCTCCCGGATGGGGTCGGAGCAGATGGGGTCGGAGGATCGCTCCACATCATCGATGCATCCCGATGAATCAGCGGTATGTGGGCGATGCATCGGCGACGTCAGCGATGCACCGGCGCCGTCGGCGTGGAGAAAGTCGCGCTCCACATCGAGCCGCATCGACGATGCATCGGCGATGCGGCGCGATCCTCCCACCCCATCTACTGGAACCCCATCTGGGAGGCCTAGACATACGGACTGGCTTCGAAATCAGCGCGCAGGCCACCCACAGAGCTATTTGAGCCTGGCAGGGCTATTTCAGCCTGGCCACCGAGAGGCATGGCTCGCGCCCTTGCACGAGGAGGGGCGCAAGAGGGATCCGTCTCCCTCCGGCCTGGCCGACCACCCGCCCGCCCGCCCGCACCGGTGCCACCGATAACGGGCCCTGTGGAGGGGAGATGGCGACAACAAGAGATCTGCGCGGCCAGCTGGGACCACTAATGGAAGAAGGACGAGCTGCACAAACATGAACTTTCGGAGGTCTGCGCGGATTTCGGATCAGGGGCAACGATAGGGGGTGATCGGCGATACATCACCACGAGATCGGCGATAGCCCCCAATAGTAAATCCACAAGTTCCTGGGCAGGTTGGGGCTATCGGGCCCCAAATCGGCGATCAATGAACGATTTGGGGTCGATGCCCCCCCCCCCACATGCTTACCCGCCCGATCCTTCTCCCCGATGGGATCGGCGCTGCATCCCCTCCCGGGCGCGCAGAGCGCGCCGGGGACAGGGCCCGAGGCGCCGCCAGGAGGGCCCAGCGCCGAACCGAGGAATCAGCGCGGCCTTTGAAAGTGTACGTTTCTGCCGTAGTCCTTCGTTCGAACTTAGCGCTTGGAAACAACTGGTTGCTACAAACGTCGGCAAGCTCAGTGAAACGCAACTCAGACGAGCGCGATCCACTACTCGCAAAGTGACTACTCGCGAATGGCCTGGACCCGCCGCGGGAGATCTACGATCCATTACATCGAAGCAAACATGTGAAACATTTTTTCGGATGTTTGCGAGCAGATACTTTGCGAGTAGAGGAACGCGCTCGGTGACAGCTGGAGGCGATGAGATGTTCATCAAGAAGCGCCAGAGGGCTCCGCCCGCGCCGACAGGCCTACACGTCGTTCATTTCTAATCGTGAGGCGGAGGAGGAGAAAGAGGAGGGGAGCCGAAACGGATGGGACTGGCTCAGGGAGGAAACAATGATCTGGAATCGATCGCACATCACGAATAGTTCCGCCCACACCCCTTGCCCCTATCGTCGTTGGGTAGGCGCCTGGTGGTCGATGCGTTACCCCCTGACTTGACTCATCTTAGATACACAAGAACTACATACACATAAACTCTCGGAGCTCCGCGCGGATCTCTTGGATCTGCGCTGAGACCATCCTCTCATTGACGTGCAGAGCGCGCCAGGGGGCGCCAGAGGTGCCCGAAGCAGATCCAAGACAGCCGCGCGGAGCTTCAAACACTCAAGTATGCTGAACCTCCTGAAGCCATTAAGGCCCCCCCCCCGGGGTTATCACTAGCACAGCACCATAATTAGATAATTATGGGGGGCGGTTTTCGCCGAACGATATGAATAACACCGCGCAAATAGAACGAACATACATAATTCCCGCGCCCCAGCTCGGGTGGTAACCCAATTAGACTTGGAATAGCTAGAATCATGATAAGAGTGAAGTGCGAGTACTAATATTAAGAAAAAGAATGATACTAATGATGAAAATAAGTATCATAATTAAATTAAAACTGATACGAGTACGATCAATAATAATAATAAAAAGAAATTAAGTACGAATAGTGATGAGAGTAAATATGATGATACGAATCCGACGACTACTCCGAATAAGAACAACAATGATAAGACTAATAATAATAACTTAAAAAAAACCTGATCATAATAATGATGAGAGTACTAAGAAGACTAATAGCTTTTTCTCTTTATCTTCATCATCATCGTCCTTTACGATTTGTATTACCACCCATGTTGAAACATTGTTGATTCCCGGTCGTCGTGTGGGGTAGTGCATCCGTGAGTATCGCCCCAGCCACGCACGGCGCGACTTCTTAGCACAGTACCCGCACAACATGATTACGACAGCTTGTCCAAAACGACCACAAGTACAATAAGACCAATAATAATACAATTAAGAATGAGACGAATAATAAGAGCAATAATGCGAATAAGAGTAACGATAATACTAATGCTAAGAAACCCGAAAACAGACTGGCTCCCCTGCTTCTTTCCTCCCACCCCTCCTTTTTCTCATTTTCTTCATTATCCTTGTCCTATACGGTTCTTGTTCGCACCCCTATTGAAAAATTATTGTTTCCAGGCCGTAGTGTGGGGTAGCGCATCCGAGGATATCGCCCCCGCCACGCACGGCGCATTACCTTAGCAGCCGCACCGCCAAAATTATTCGCCCCCCATCGTAGGCACGGAAGTTTCCATTTCAAAGCTGGGCTCTCCCTTGCGTGGGACTCAATGTTGTTATTGTTTGTGTTGGCGGTGTTGTTTGTGCTTTTGATGTTGACGTTGTTGTTGGTGTTGCTGCTATTGGCCGTGTTGTTCGGGAGAAAATTCTTATTGCTGGTATTATTGTCGTTGTTCATGTTGGTGTCCTGCCGTAAGGGAGTCCTGAGGAGGAGGAGCAGGAGAGGATTTGTTCTATTTAGCTGGGCCAAGACCTCTTGACTGAAACCTTGGCCCTCGGCTTGATCCGTAATGGCGAATAAGAGCCAAACTATTGCGAACATGTCTCAGGCGATTTGCTTGTTTCGGCGAGCAGACTCGTCTGCGTTCACATGAAGGTGCGAGGTGCCAAGATAACGCTTCTGGGGTGCCGGGTGCGTGAAACTTTCGCCAGAGAGGGGGGGGGGTCTTCATTGCTTGGTGAGGTTATGCCGCTAACTCTTCTTCGATATCTCGCCCGCTATCGCTGACCCCCGAGGGGAGGGGCGGGGGGGGAAGACGGCCGAGCCTCCGAACGACACCTGCTGTGCCCGGGATGCGTGTATCGAAGCGACCGGCGAGCGGAGCGCTCGCGCCCGCACCCAAGCAGAAGAGACCTACGACGCGGCGGCTCGAGGATGGTGCCCCGAGGAACGCGGCCCCGACGCCCTGTGTAAGAGGCACCTCAAAGAGTGCAAACTCAGCCCGGGCCCCCCTCCTGTCCCCGGGGACCCAGGGAGGGGAGACGGCACGACCACAGACTGTCAGAGCTCCGCGCGGGTCTCTTGGAGCTGCGCTGAGTCCCCCCTCCCTGGCGCGCAGAGCGCGCCAGGGGCGGCGCTGGTGGCGCCGCCAGGGTTGAGCAGAGACCGACCTTCCCAGCGTTCCTCTTGGCCTACCACGACACTTCTCAGAACCAAAGAATGCTCTAACACACCACAGGTGATCTCAGAACATACAGCCGATGAATTCAAACATTCCTGGGTGAGGGTATAGGGCAGAGTCGGGGGATCTCCTGACCCGCGTGAATCCGGACATGGGTCAGTCAAGCTTTGCAACAGGATGCAGGATCCTGCACCCAAGCCCGTTTCAGTGCACCCCTGGCCCTGCAAGATGCTGCAAGACCTGGCGCTCTGTCCCCATCTGCACGGACACCCGTCTCTCGATCCCCGGCAGGGGGGGGGGGGGCAGCGCCGACCCGGGGAGACCCACGCGGAGCCCCAGAGATCCGACGTCGTGATTTTCTCCACACGCGGTCCCCGGTTGTCTCGACCCCTTCCCCCTGGACCGGCTTTTCGCCCAAAGTAACTGTTTCACACTCCCGAGGCCCGGCGGTGGCCCACAGGGGGGCCCTAGTTTGCGAAAAACCTCCGCCTTGATGTTTTCCATACGTTTGTGGATGCCATGACAGTGGACAAGTTGACAACCCTGTCATGGAATCGAAGATGTGTTTCACATGTGTAAACAAGCATGTTCTACAACTGTTTCAAACATGCTTTTACGCAGTGCAAGCATGTTTGAGACATGTGTCTGGGACATCTGGAAATGATCTGGCAGCCTGCTTCCTCTCCGTGCATCGACTTCCACCAACACTGCGCTGGACCTCTTGGGGCTCCAGAAGCCCCAGGCGCGAGCCGCGCTCCGCCCCTCGAGGCTCCGGCGGCGCGCTCCGCCGGCGGGCCCCCCGGCCCCTCGAGGCTCCGGCGGAGCGCTCCACAACGCAAAGAAGGCCTCCGCGCGCGGCCTCCGCCGGCGGGGCGCTGCGGGGGGGGGGGGGGGGGGCCGCGCTCGCTCAGCGCCTGCTGGGGTGCTCGATGCGCACCCGCACCTCGGCGCGGGCGGTGTCCTCCTCTCGGCGGCGCGCCGAGGGGGGGGGGAGCAAGTCTTGCGGATGCCACGACGGGGGACACCCTCACAGTCCGATCCTTGAACTGAGAGTGCGTTTAGCGTGTCGGAAGAGATGTTCTGAGCATGTTTTGGACACGTGTGTTACATGCTTGAAGCATGTTTAACACATGTTCTGGACATCTGGAATTTTTGTTGGCAACATCCTTCCCCTCCACTGATCGTCCTCAACACAGCAAATCAAAGGACCCCCAATCCTTTGGGAGGCGACCTTAATTCGGAGGCCAAAAGCAGTCGAGATACCCCATGCAAAGACGGGGGCCTCCGTGAGACCACGTCTTCACTCATGTGATTTGGGTTGGGGGTTCCTTTGCCCTCGGTGGGGGGAAATGGCAGCTGCATGGGACACGCATTCTCAGAGGGCGGCGAGGCTTCTCGGAAGCCCTCCAGCCTGCTGAGAGGCCCTCCGTGGCCTCGACAGTGGGCACGACAAAGACACGGGTCCTGTTGGAAGCGGCTCCTGCACCGCGGGGCCTTCTGCAAAACCAGGTGTGCAGCCAGCGCCGCTTCTGTGTTAGTCCCGGGGCCCGGGCCAGAGAGGCTCGAAAACGGGGAACGACCCCAGGCCCCGTCTCCCTCGGGACCCCTCCCGTGGCGAGGGGCAGGCGCAGAAGCTTCTCAGAGCAGGCGCAGGCGCGGATTTCTCGGATCTGCGCTGGACCCCCCTGGCGGCGCCTCCGGCGCCGCCACTGGCGCGCTCCGCAAGCCAGGGAGGAGGGTCCGGCGCCAGTCCGACAAATTCGCGCGGACCTCCGAGTTTTTGTGCTTATTTCATTCTTCGTTCCCCTACGCCTGAGCGCCGCGCACGTTCGCTTTAGAATGCAGCCAGCGTGGACCCCAAACAGTGAGAAGGCCCGGCCCCCTCTGCAATCCCTGCCCGGGCGCGACGCCGATCCTCCGACTGGGGGGTGCACAGCAGCGGCGACTTGCCCCTGTCGCTCTGCGGCGTCAGCGGGTTGTCGTCCATCGAGCAGCCCTTCGTCTCCTGCACGAAGAGGTACACGCCCACGAAGCCAACAAAACAGACTACGCCGAAGAACTTGCAGGCGCCGTGCAGACCGAGGAAGGGCATGCCGAAGACCACCACGAAGCAGCTGAGCCAGTTTATCACGCCGCACGCGCTCAGCGCGGCGCCCCGGATCTCCATGATGTAGATCTCGGAGAGGTAGATCCACGTGACGGCGCCCAATCCTGGGAACACGAAAAATAACGACACCGCTGCCCCCTGGACCTCTCCAAAGGTGCGTCCTGACCGGAAGTTCGGAGCGAGTCCGGCCGTGGCGACAAGAGCCTCCAAGATAGCCCCAAAAGGCCAAAACAAAATAACATAACCTGACATGGTTCCGCCTGCTGGAGGGGCAGACCGAAACCGGATCTGGAAAACAGAAATCGCGCCGACAAACACCAAAACCGAACACGGAAAACGGCAAACGGAAACCCGGGAGAAAATGAACAACCGGCAAACAACCCAAATCGGGAAAAACTGAGAACGGAAACCAACATAACAAAAAACAGGAGAACGAAACTGACGGGGATGCACACGGAAACACAAAACAACAGACCAAAACCCAAAACACAAAACACGCACTGCCAACGATGAGAAGAAACCACCACTGGAAACGGACAACGGAAACCAAACACCGAATACAAAACAAAAAAACAAAAAAACTGGATACGAATACTGGAAAACAGAAACCCGAAAACGGACAACGCTCAATAGAAACTGGAAAACGGAACCAAAAAAACAAACACCCCAACACGGGCACTGGACAACAGAACACGGAAACCGAATAACAGAATATGGAAGACGAATAACGGAAGCCGGGGACCCCCAAGACATGAACAAAAACGGAGACCGAACACCGAAGACGGAAAACACAAACAGGGGAACAGATAACGGAAAATGAACACCAAAACAGAGGAAATATAGCAAACACGAGCATGAAACCCAAAACATGTTGAAATAATAATTACCCAGATGATGTTAGCAATTAACCGAAAGCAACAACTGCACAACGCAAATGAGGAACCTGACAGACATGACGAAATAACGGACAAGAGAGCACGGGGATTAGATACTTAGAACGCGAATGAAAAGCCATAGCGAGGAGAACGTCCGAGGGGGGCCCCAAGAAGCCCTCGCGGCGGGGCTGCTCTGATGGGCCATCCGAAGGAGTGGACCAAAGGAGGGGGCCGAAGGAGCACCCAAGAGAGGACAAAAACATCCGAAAGAAGCTCCCATGTGCCTCGCAGAGACCCCACGTGATGTCTTGCAACGGCGCAAACAAATGTAGGCCCGAGCAAAGAACCCAAAGGGACACCAAACGAGGGCCCAAGAAGCTCCAAGGCTGGCCCCACGAGAGGCTTAAGATAACCTCACACGGCAAGGTTCCTCGGGTGAACCACCCGCAAATCCACAAATGCCCGAACGAAAATCCCAGCAGGCACTCGAAATCCTGGGCCAACAAAAGAGCCTCCAACAGGTACCCAACAAGCCTAACGGAAAAGCCAAAGAGGGGCCCAAGAGGGCCCTGCGGTGGGACTCCCAGGGGGTTCGACCGACAAGATAAGCCCGCGGTGGCCACGGCCCCGCCGCGGGGCTCTCTTGGGCCCCTCTTGGAGTCCTCTTTCGGCCTTCGTGGATTCTCCTCGGGCCCCTCTCGGAGGCTGCTTGGGTTCGTTCTTTTGGCTTTCGCGGGCTCGTGCGTGTCCCACCCAAGGAGCCACGCCACGCAGCCCTCGGGGTCCGCTCTTGAAGCCGTCTTCGGGCCTTATTTGGGCCTCTCCCAGGGCCCCTTTGGACCCCGCCAAGGGGCTCCTGATGTCCTTTCAAGGGGTTGCAGGAGTAGGTGCCGGAGGAGGAGGAAACCCAATGATGCACGATAGGAAGATGGAGGGCCTGGAGGATGAGAAGGAGGAGGAGCTCGAAGAGGAGGACATGGAGGAGGAGCACGTTGCCCGCGGTTCGCCGCCAAGACACTGCAGCGGGGAATCCCCATTCCATGCTGCTGCCTCAAATTCGGTTTTCCATTTTTGGTTTCTGGTTTGCTCGTGTCCGGTTTCTGATCTCTGGTTTTGCATTGTCCGTTTTCTGGTATCCGTTTATCCACAATTCCAGCTTCCGGATTCCCGTTTCTCGGACTCCCCTTTCTGCTGTTAGCAGTCCGGTTCCCGTTTCCAGTTTCCATTTCCCGTTTGTGTTGTCCGTTGGATGTTTTTCGTTTGTTGGTTTCTAATGTCCGTTTCTGGTTGTTGTGTTTCTAGTGTTACTTGCACGTGTTCTCGGTCTGTGTGTGTCGATTTACTCGGTGTTCGTTTTTCGGTGTTTGCTTTATGCTGTGTTAGTTATTGATCCTTCGGCATGCTTCTTGGTCGCACTTTTATTGTCTGCAGTGCAGCATCACCTAGTATACGCTAGTAGCGCCTGCGCGCAGTGTGGCATGCCTTTACATCGAGTTGCATTGTTCCACGCTGCTTGCTATGCATTGCATTGCGTTGAATTGAGCTGCAGTGTGTTGCGTTGCGTTGCGTTGCGTTGCATTGCGTAGCGTTCTTTTGCATTGCACATCGTCGCGCTGGTTGGGCTCATTCGGGCCTTCCTTCGGGGCTTCTCGGCCCCCCGTCGGGGCCCCTTTGGCTACCGCTGGGGGGCTCCCTGGGCCCTCTTCTGAGGCTTCCGTGGGCCTGGGGATGGCCCGCCCGGGGAGCCCATGCCGCGGGGCTCGCGAGGGCCCCTCCGGGAGCCTTCCTTGGAGGCCCCGCTCGGCCTTCGCGGGCTTTCCTCGGGCGCGCGCGTGGCCCGCCCAAAGAGTCCCGCCACGGGGCCTCGTGGGATTGTCTTCGGAGGATTTGGGGGACCCTCCTGGGGGACTCCTGTGGCCCCCCGTTGGGCGGGGGCTCCTTGGGTCCTTTCCTGAAGCCTCGGTTGGCCTGTGGGTGGCCCAAGCACAGTCAACCGATGGTGGCAAGGGCAGTGCGGAGGGTGGCGAGGACGAGGACAGGAGGACGGGCATGGCCGGGACGAGGAGGCCATTAGCGGGCCACGCGCAAGCCCACAGAGGCTACAGGAAAGGACCCAAAGAGCCCCCGAACAAGGCCCCGAGGAGAATACACGGAGGCCTAAAGAGGGTCCAAAGAAAACTCCAGGGGAGGCCCAAGATAGCACCCGAGGCAAGGCTGCTTGGGTAGGCCACCCACACAACCACGGAGGCCCCGGGAAATATGACCACCCCTGCGTTGCCCTCCTCATAGTCGTCGTCCTCCTCAACCCGACCGTCCTGCCCATCCTCCTCTTCCCGACCCCTCTCTTCCTCCTCCTCCTCCTCTTCGTCTTGCTCGTGATCCTCGGGCGGTTGCGCCCGTGGGCGGGTTGAAATGTGTCACCTGGTTGCGGTTGAGGCTGCGCTTGCGGGCGGGTTGAAATGCGTCGCCTGGTTGCGGCTGCGGTTGCGATTGCGCCTGGAGGCGTGTTGAAATGTGTCGGGTGGTTGCGGTTGCGGTTGTGCCAGCGGGCGGGTTGCAATGTGTCTCCTGGATGGGGTTGCGATTGCGCCAGCGGGCGGGTTGAAATGCGTCGCCTGGTTGCGGCTGCTATTGCAGTTGCACCCGCGGGCGGGCTGAAATGTGTCGCCTGGATGCCGTTGCGATTGCGCCCGCGGGCGGGTTGCAATGTGTAGCCATTTTGGCTCAAGCCATTTTGGCTCAAGCTTGGCTCAAGGTGGCTTGAGAAGGCTTGCGGGGCCCGGGCGGGTCGCGCCCCCCCGCCCCCGGCGCGCGGGGCGCGGCGGATGTGGCAGCGCGGCCGCGGCGGCGGGCCATGTTCGGCTGGCCCGGCGCGGAGGGCGCCGGACCCGGCGCCTTGGCGCCGCTACCCCCGGGATGGACCTGGGGGTGGCTCGCGGTGCCGATCCCCCCCGCCCCCGGATGCTGGGGGGCGCCCGGCCCCGGCCAACCGGCAGCGGAAGCGGCGGCGGCAAGGCCAGCGGCAGCCCAGGGAGGAGCAGCGGTCGCGGCTGGCCCCTGCGGGAGAGCCGGAGCGGCGGTTGCGGAGCCCCCAGCGGGCGCGCTCCCCGGAGGCGCGCGCGCGCCGGCAGCGCTGGAGCCCGGGCTCTGGCCGCAGCCCGAACCGCCGGCTGCGTCGCCATCGCAGCCCGACGGAGCCCGCCCGGCCGGCGCCAGCGACGCCGCAGCCGCGGAGGCCCCGCGCGGGCCCAGGCGCGCCCGCGGCGCCACCCCCCGCGCCTCCCCCGCCTCCCCCTGCTCCGGCGGTGAGCGGGGCGGCGGCGGCAGCAGCCGAGGAGGAGGGCCGCCGCGCGCCCGGCGGCCGCGCCGCCCGAGGGGCTGGGGGCTCCTCCACCACAGCCGGCGGCGCCTCCGACGGCGGCAGCGGCGCCTCCGCCGGCGGCGGAGCCGGCAGCCCCGCCGGCAGCGCCGGCCGGGCTCCACGGAGCTCCGTGGAGCCGGCGCGAGCGACGGCGGGACCGGCGCGAGCGGCAACGGCATCGACCGCGCGCAGCTGATCGCGGCGGCCTTGAGGGTCGCCGGGCTGAGGGGGTGCCGGACCACAGTGGTGCCGGAGGGAGTCCTCATCCGCTGGACCTGAGTGGGCGCTCAGGTTCGGATGGTGCGACGCCCCCGGGCGGCGAGTCCTCGTCGTGGTACGGGGCCCGGAGGCTTGACCGCTGGGCTGACACGGAGGATGACGCTGAGCCGGGCGCGCAGGCGCCGGCTGGCTCAGGAGGTGCACGTGGTGGCGACGCCTCCCCGGCAGGGCTTGCGGAGCGGGGTGGGCGCCGGCCGCCCACGGGGAGCGCGAGGGCGGCGCTACCGGCAGTCCACGCTCGAGGAGCACGGCTTCGTGATCTCGAGCCGGCCGCGCCCGCCCGGGGCGCAGTCCCTTCAGCGCCCGTGGGAGCTGGCGGGCAGCGCCCCCGCGGGGTGGCGGCAGCTCTCACTCCCCGATTGCTTTGCCGCGGCCGCCGCCGCCGGGTCCGCCGCTGAGGCCGCGGGCGTGGGCACCGGCGTTGAGGCGGCCGGACTTCCCGGGGGACCCGCGGAGACCCCAGGGGTGCTGGAGGAGGGGTGCACGGTCGAGGCGGGACCTCCCGGCCCCTCAGCCCCGATGACGGAGGTCGATCGGGCGCGCATTTGCATCCAGCAGTGGCGCGGCTGGGTCCCCGCCGCTGCGCCGCCCGGCACGGCGAGGCCGCCTGCGGAGGCGGAGCCTGCAGCCGAGGCCCGCCGGGGCGTCTCGCGGGACGGCAGCGCGGCCGGCGATGCGGCGGCGGCGGCAGCGCTGCTGGCCCGCTTCCGGGCGCTGCCCCGGCAGGCGGCGCCCACGTCAGCGGCGCCGCAGGGGTTCGCCCTCGACGCGGGCGAGTACGACCTCGAGTACGCGGACGACGCCCTCGAGCAACACTCCCTCCCTCACGGGCCTGGCCCGGCTGAGGTCGAGGTCCTCCCTCCCGGGGCGCTCCCGGTGCAGGTTGAGGCGGTTTCCTCGGGTGAGTTGGCTCCTCCCGGACCCGCGGCCGAGCCTTCAGAGGCTCCGCCGGACCAGCCGGCGCCCCCGGAGGCGGCGCCGGCCCTCCCTCCCGGGCGGCTCCCGGTGGAAGTCGAGGCGCCTCGGAGTCCCGAGGCGACGCTGGCAGCGCCGGGGGAGCCTCCCGGACCTTCGGGTGCGGTGGAGGTAGACTCTCCCGGTCCGCCCGGTCAGCAGGCGGTAGCTGAGTGCGGGCGGCCTCCTGGCACGGAGCCGGTGGAGGTGCCTCCCGGGCCAGGCCCGGTGGAGGAGGCGGCGGCGGCGGCGGCGCGCGTGCACCACCTGGCCTTGGTGCGCGCTTTGGCGCAGGCCGGCGGCCGCCCCGCTGAGGCCGAGCTGGCAGGGCTGCTGCGCCTCCCCACCGGGGGGAAGCGCCGGCAGCTGCAGCGCCGGCTCGACGCGGCGCTCGGCAGCCTGCCGGCCCCAGAGCTCGCGGAGCTCATCGGCCAGATGGCTGCCGGCATCGGCGCCGCTGGACGGCCGTAGGCCGGCGGCCGGCGCCTGGCTGCCGCGGCGGCCCGCGCAGGCCGCGTGCTGCGGGCCCGCCTCGGCGCTGAGCGGGGCGCCCGGCGGGCGGGCGGCTTCGCCCTCCCCTCCCTCCCCTTCCCCCCTCCCCGCTCTCTCTGTCGTGTCGTCCCCTCGTCGTCGTTTTCCCCCCTTTTGCCACAGGGCTCCTTCGCGCAGGTAAAAAATGTGTCGCCTGGTTGCGGTTGCGGTTGCGGCTGCGCCTGCGCGCGGGTTGAAATGTGCGACTTGCTTGCGCCTGCGGGTGTGCCCAGGCAGTTCAGTCAGGTCAATGCAATTCAGCGCAATTGCATTCAATTCAATCGGTTCAATGATTCAACAGAGAACAGAACATGTCACCCAATTCCGCTGGGAAAAACCAAAACCAAAAACCGAATAACGGAACTAAAACACGCACACCCGAAAACGGACACCGGAAAACGGTAAAAAAACGGATTCCAGAATACCGAAAACGGAATCCCAAAAACGGCCACCGAAACAAGACAATTGAACACGGAAATTGGACAATGGAACACAACATACCCAAAACTGAAACCGGAATGCAACAATGGGAAACCAAACATTTGAAAACAAACACCGGTAAAACAAAAACCATGAAACAAACAACTGAACACCGAAACCAACAACCGAACATCGAATACTGGAAAACGGAAACAAACATCGGAACACATAAACCGGAACTTATAAGCCCATAAATGAAAAACCAAACACATACACCGGACAACAAAACAGTGGAACACAGGAAATCCCCAAAACAAAAACGGACAACGGAACACAGAAACGATAACCAAAACATTGACAACGAAAACGGGAAAACATACCCTCCAACACGGAAAACAAAAAAACAAACACCGCACATCGGGAAACTCAAAGCAGAAACCGGAAAACGGAACTCAAACAAACTGAGGAACATAAAAAAAACATACCACCAAAAAACGGAAGACGAAAACTCAAAAAACAGAAACCAAAACACGGACACCAAACATCGGATGCCGAATACCAACAAACACGACACGGAAATCCGAAAAAAACTGGAAATTGGGAAAAAGACAATTTTGTTTTCCGCTCCAGGATTCCGCTGTCCGTTTCCGTTTGGTCGGTCGCGCCAGCTGACCGGAACCGTCTGCGGTGGTGTTCTGAAATCGAGGCAAGGGGAGCGGTTTCGGTGCCTGGGTTTGCGTGATGGCCGACCCCTGACCCAAAAAGAAGGACTTTCCATGTTGGGCATACATCGTCGACTCTCTGACGCTGCATGGTCCGTTCATAACCACATTTACATCGCAGAACAAGGGGTGTGGAGCTGGGACTGGCCATCGCTCGGACGTCCATTCCCTGTGTTTTTTGTCGGTTCCGTGCATGGTTTTATCGCCAAATGATCAAGGATGCTCCGCGATGGTCCTCGCCGAGGAAAACACGCACACGTCCGAGCGATGCCAAGGGGAAGGGCATGCCACTCCTTGAACATATCCCTGCCCCGAGAAAAGCTCTGCCCGCGGGTGGGGGTGAGATTGTTCGGCGGCCTGCGACGGTGGCGCTCGAGCGTGGGACGCTCCCAAAAATCCCCCCCAGTCGCGGCACCCTCTCGACAAGTCTGCCTCGTCTCCGTGGGGTCAAGGGTGGGGCTAGAGAGCAACTCACAGAGCCTCTGGGTCGTCCCCATGGAGCAAGCGGACAGAATGCATCTTCCCCACATGGCGCTCCAGGGCGCTCGTGGGCGCTGTTCGGGTGCTGTTGAGCTCTGTTGGGAGCCCTTCGCAGATTTACACACGATCCACGACCAGCGCAAGCTTCCGTGCTTCACGATCTGACATCCACCATGAACGCGGGAGTGTGCCAATCTGGATGGCGACGGAAGTCCAGCAGCGAAGGAGACCGTGAAGAGGCAGAAGCAGCACAGCACCATGGTCGGGCCCACGACCGCGCCCGGGAGCGGGCAGAGCCACGACTCGTGGCCCGGCGCGCACTCGGAGATGCAGAGCATGGCGGCCATCTGCAGGAACGGCCCCCCGAGGAGCAGCGCCCGCCTGCCCCAGCGGTCCACCACCTTCCAGAGGCACGCAACACCGCACACGAGCACAGGAGGCCTTGGAGCTCTCGGAGCAGGAACGCGTGCCAGTACTCCCGGATCTGTGCCGGACCCCCCCAGCAGCACCTCCGCCGCAGCCCCCGGCGCGCTCCGTGCGCCGGAGAGGTCCAGCGCCGATCCAAGACGTCCGCGCGGAGCTCCGACGGCTCGTGTCTGTGTCGTTTAGTTCATCCTCGGCACCTTGGAGCTCATGATCGCGGCGAGGGCGTTGCACGTGGCCATGATGGTCGACGCCAGGGTCAGCTGGGAGCTCGGGATCCCGGCCTGCGAGAAGAGCGCGTTCGAGTAGGACATCAGCGCGTTGATGCCGCTGAGCTGCTGGAAGGCTGCCAGGGTGAAGCCCACGAACAGCGCGGGCTGGAAGTACCTGTCGCAGAGCGCCTGGTGAATGTGCAGCCGCGGAATCTGGGCGGCCTGCTCGCAGGCGTAAATCATCTCGCTGAGTATCTGCTCCACCTCGGGACTCATCTGACCGACCAGGACATCATTCTGGCGCGCCCGAGAAAGCTGCAACCCTGATTCGGAACACTCTCCATGCCTCGACGTCCGCCGATCTGATTTGCTCAATTCGCGGCCCCGGTTGCCCCGACCGCTTACCCATGGGGGGAACTATTCGTCCCGGATCCATTCTGAATTGTGCCGGGCCTCGACGATGGGCCCAAGTGGCCGAACTCGAGGAGATCCGCCCTCAAAAACATATATGTGTTCTCTCAATGTGGATCTAACGAACACTTGGTTTGTGGCGTCGCACACAAGGGGGGTGGCGCGAGGGAGGGGGGGCCTTCTAAGAATGCGGGGGGGGGGTTCTAAGAATGCGGGGGACCTTAATAGACACGCCTGGGTGCTTCCAAGAAGGCTTCTTGGAAGCCGCGAGGGTTTGTAAGACCCAGCTGGCTTCTTGGATGCCACCCCCCACAACATCAACTCTCGGAGGCCCGTGCCGGCCACACCCTCCCCCAGCGACTCCGAGAGAAACTTGCACTCTGGGGGGCGGGCGAAGACCTCCGACAGCAGTCTCCGCCGCGCCCCGGCGAGGGCAGAGCGCGGTGCCCTCCTGGCCCCAACAGCGCAGAGCGCAGACCACACCTGGGCGTGACCGCGCCCTCTGTCAGAGGAAGAGGAAGCGGCATAAGCAAAACCTCTCGACGCAGCGCGCCAAGGGCGGTGCGGGAGGCGCCGCAAGGAGGGCCCAGCGCAGATCCGAGAAGTCCGCGCGGACCATCGCACGCTCATGTTGTTTCTGCGTCTATGTGTATGGGACGGGAGTGGTGCCATGGTAGGATCGGCTCAGGGTACGTTCCAAGATCTCCCAGCAGTAGCCAACGGCCCTCTTTCCTGCAACCCGTGCGACACTTCCAGAAACCAGGGGAATCCAGGGAACCTTGGAGTGAATCATGATCATGATGTCTTGTTCTTATGCTGCATATTTGGGGGACCTCGTCTGTCCAATCGCGCCAGCCATCCGTGTCGCATCCATGTTGATTCCGGGTCGAATCCGTGGTGGATCCGTGCCGAATTCACGCCAGATCCGCGTCGAGTCCGCATCGAGCCCGCGTCGGGCGCAATGGAAGACTCAAATTGTGGGGATAGACGAGGTCCCCCGAAGATGCAACGTGATTGTTCCTGGGAGCTTGGTCGCCGGCAACCGGCCGTCCTTGTTGCCGTCGCTCCATGTAGGGGCGATCAATGGGGGGGGAGAGAGGTGCACTTTACCGAGCCCGAAAGGTCCCCTCTGGGGCCCAACACGGTCCTCTAGGGGCCCCACAGGGGCTCCTTCTCTACAGCCCCCGCTGATCCCCATTGATCGCCCCGACCTTCACGAGTGCTAAAAAAACCCTTAGACCTTCAGACTTATTTGGACCGCCCAAAATCTCGACAGGAATTTCCAGATGTCGAAGTCCTGACGCAATGCTCAGCCCTCCTGGAAGGTCAAAGTGATCATTGAGCAGGGACTGACCGTCCCGGCATTCCTATAGTCCTACCACGAAATGTTCTTAGAGCCCAAACATGTTCGAAAAACAAAAACAAGGTTCTTAGAACATATTCCCGATGTGTTAAAACAAGACAGACTCCGCCAGAAATGTTCTAAGAACATTTCGTGGAAAGCACAAACGGTTCTTAGAACATTGCCTGGTAGGGCCATAGGCGAGCCAGGACGCTGCGCCACTGCTTGATCGACGGCAACCGGCCCTCCGACGAACGCCCCCGACTGGACGGGCCCCGGGCCGCTACCCCCGCGCCGCCCAACGGGCCCAACGGCGGGGTGCCCTGCGGCGCCCCTTGGGCCGCGCGCTGCAGTGGGGCCCTCAAACAGTGCGGTGACCACGCCGCGTGGCGAGTCGGGGGATCGAGGATCGGAGGAGACGAGAGGGTAGGATAGCCAAGGGTAGGGTTAGAGAATCGGCTCACGCAGCTGGTTCTCCTGGCACCAGGGGCGCCCCGTGTACATCGAGGACGGGGGCCTGGCGGCGGGGCCGACACCCGCCCCGCACGCAGCAGCATCTCGAGACCCCCACCCCTGCACCCGGTCGTCCGGCCCAAGAGGAACGAGGCCCACACACGACCCCTTGCAGGCCGCAGAGGCCCGCAGAGCCCCGGTCTCGTGGAGAGCCCCGGCCGCCCTCGCCGCCGCGCTGCCGGGCTCCGCGTCCGGGGCCTCGCCGGCGAGCCTCGAGCCGCCCGCGCCCCTCGGGGGCTCCAGGCCGTAGGTCCTGTAGAGGAGCCTGCGCGCCTCCTGCCGGGGCGCCCGAACCCCCCGGGTGCACGTTTTCCTGCTCGGCCTGTCGACCCTGGGCGGAAGGGGGGGGGGGTCTGGCTCCAGACCTGTGCTGAATGCGACTGTGTGCAACAGTACGTCCTATGGGGGAGACTCCCCCTGCTTGAAACAGGCGCCAACCAAAGCCAAGATCCACTCCATGGGGTGGGTGCGAAGGCCCGCGCCGATCGGCAAAACAATGATTCCAAAACGGTGGCCAGGGTGGTAAGGCTTCGGGCTGCGCCCAGGCTGTTTGCAGCCAAGTCAAGCCCAGCGGGGGTGTCTGACCCCCAGCGTCGATTGGATCGGCGGGGGGCTGTTTGCGCGCAACCCGCAGGCTTGACACTCGCACCCCTCTCCTCCTTCTCCTTCCCCTTCTGTGTGACTCTGCGACCAAGTGCGAGCCAGGCGCCCTGCGCCCCAGGGCTGAAGTGTTGAGACCGTCCAGGACTGCTCGGGGGGCCTGCTGAGGCCAGCCGGAAGTAATTACTCGGGGACCGTAGGTCCTGCAGAGGAGCCTGCGCGAGACCCCGGATTCTGCGCAGAACAATACACGGCATATCGGCGCTGGAGGCCCCTGGCGGCGCCTCGGGCGCCGCCCCTAGCACGAGCCGCGCGCCAAGAAGGGGGGGGTCAAGAGATCAGCGCGGAACTCCAAAAGTTCATGCTCATCTCATTTTGGTGGTTATCGAGTTCGGAGTCTGAGCCGTTCGGGCGCCGAATGGACAGCTGAACGGGCTCGAGTCCAAAATGATGGCGGGAATCTCGCCCGTTCGGCGGCCGAATGGGCTCGATCTCGAGTCCATTCAGCAGCCGAGCGGGCTACGATGCCGAATGGGCTCAGATGCGAACCTCTGGGAATCCAGAACCCTTCGAGTCATACAAAAAACACGACGGGAGACATGTGATTGTTTTCGGGCTTTGGGGGCTTCTGCCAAGTCCCAGGACCTTCGAAAAATGGCCAGGGACGAAAAGCCGGTCCCGGGGAATGGGTCGAAACCTCCGGGGTCCGCGCTGTGAAACAACAGTGAAACATGGCGTCGGGAGTCTGTGAAATGGGCGCTGAAAAAATCTGGCTCGGAGCCCAGCAACAGACGTCGCCCAAAACCGATAAACGGTCTCTGCTGGGCCAGGCGGTTTTTGCTGTCTCGAAGAGGCAGCGCCCCCGCGGCGATGCCCACAGTACGGCCTGACCAGAGCGGGCAGACATCGCCGCCGGTGTTGGTGCCCAATTCTTGCCTCCACTGAAAAGCGGATTGAGACGACAATGTTAAGGAGCCGAACTCTGTACACCGACGCCTTTGTCTGGCCTCAAACTGAATCTCGCACAAGAAAACGGATCCTGGTGTATACGGGATCCTGGTGTATACATTCTTCGTTGTTTCCACGGGAAAACGGGGAAAATGGTATACACCACACAATCCCGTCGTCGTCCCCGACCCTCAAAAAGTTCTGGGACTGAAAAACAGCCCGCCACTGGTAATGTCTATGTTCCAGTTTCCGAAATGTGTTTCCCGCCGGGCCCAAATCCGCCTCAAATCAGTCCCTGGAACCATCTCGGGGTCTGTCCCGACTCCTTCTGCGAGGCGGACCCGGCCGTGGCGCCGAGATGCCTCCAGGAGGCCCCAACAACGACCCGAGCACGCGAGGGAGGGCCGCCGTTCTGGACTGGTCCTCCCCACAATATACCACACGATCGGCGAACATATCCATACCCGCGCCATCGCGGTCTGGATTTCGGGGTGCACACGATCCCGCGGACACGCGGTCGCACGGATACCGCTGCGCGCGAAGCCTCCGCGAGAGAACGCCCAGGACCTGCGGGGCCGCGGCCCGCGGCGGGGCGGCCCGCGATGGCCGCGCACACGGAGGTGTCCTTTCCCCCACGCGTCACCCCTTTGCGAGCTCGTGCCGGTCCTGCTGCCTGTCCTTCTGCAGCAGGAAGCCCGGCGGGTCCACGGGCAGCACCCGCCGGAAGAGCACCAGCTGCACCAGGGCGGGGACCGCCGCCGCGCCCAGCATCAAGCGCCAGTACCTACAAGAGGAGACCAGGACCAAACACAACACCAAACCAAAACAAGTTTGGGATCTGCACAATCATCCTGAGATTCGGGTGCTGCGATTTCTCAGCGGGCGCGATCGCCTGGTATTGGGCCCCGGGGCCCTTACAGATCGATCTGGTCCCAAAGAACTGGCGCAAGGCACAGAAAGATGTGCCCAGGGCTCCGGTCGTGATGTTTCACGAAATTGCACATGTGTCTTACGTCGTCGGAGCAACGGGAAACTGCGGCGGTTGTGGAGGAGTGTATCGGGCGCAGCGTCTTTCAAGAGCGCCCAGGAATACTTTGAGACCGTTCCAGAACGCTCCGGGACGATATCAAAGTGAGGAGCCCGAACGGTGATTCACTATTCTCGGATGCGTGGTTAAAGTAGGGTTCAGCTGTGCGGATACTTGTTGTTTTCGTTTGAAGTACCATGTCTCCTTCAGTGACATGTTGTGTTCTTTAATGGAAATTCGAAAGAATTGAGGCTACGGGTTCAAAACACAAAAGAAGTAAGAAAGCTCGAACACATAATTGTTGTGTTGTTTTTCCATGGGAATTCTCTTCCAGGGGCTCGCACCCTTTATTTAGTATGAAAAGCTGGCCTCACCAGATCGAGCCACTGCCCCCGAGTTAACAACAAGGGCCCACGACTTCTATTTCACCACAGCTTATTTAAGATCGGGCTTTTGCGCGGGACTTCCTCACAATGTACCGTGGGATCGCGATATCGCGTGGGACTTCCTTGCAATTTTGTCCAAACGCCTCGACGCTCAAGAATCGCGCTCTCGCTTTGGCTTTCTCGCGATTTACATGGGAATCGCGCTATCGCTCGACACCCTCTTTCGATTCACTAAGGACGCACGCTTCAGCAACCCGCCTGCTCGACCTGGCCGCTTGGGCCCGTCTTCCCGACCCGATCGTTAGGATCTACCCGCCCGATCAGCCCGTTTGGTTATGTCATGTGTTTTCTGCTCTCGCTAACCTATTCTGTGCTTCATCCGTCTCCCTCCCCCTTCGGTCCGTCCTCTCTTCCCATTGCTCGCGCAGGTCAAGAAGACATACACCCAAGGGGGTTCGATCGAAGACGAAGGAGGCGGGTATGGATGGTTCGGGATTCACGTGTTGAGTGGCACGCGAGGGGATAAGAGCGCACAGTCTTAACATGTGTGTTGTTGTTGCTGCTGGTGCTGCTGTTGCTGTTGCTGATGCTGTTGCTTATGATTGTTGAATTCGCTCTCTGGAAATTAATGGATGTTGCCCCCCCCGGTGACCATCATGTGTTCAATTGAAGTACTCCTCCCAGGCTTTGCGCCCAGTTTTTTATCAGGGAGATTTTGTGGTCACCGAACTGCGCCCCTGGCCCCTTGGTTCATAACAACAACATCAACAGCAAACATACTAACCAACAGCTAGAACAGCAACAACAGCAACAGCAACAGCAACATCAACAATAGCAACATCAACAAACATATTAAAACGGTTCGCTCTTACCCGCTCGCGTGCCATTCAACACGTATATCCCAGACCCTCGATACCCGCCCTCGTCGTTTTCGATCGTACCCTGTTGGGTGTATATCTTCTCCACCAGCAACGTGTATTTCGTGCAGCCCCTGAGGCAGGGGAAGAGAGGACGGATGGAAGGAAGGGACAAGGGGTAAGGAGGAGGATGGAACACGAGAGAGAGAAGCAGAACCGGGGCTAGGAGCAGAAAACACGTGCCAGAACCAGGCGGGCAGATCGGGCGGATAGACCCCACCGGGCGGGTCGGGAGGGCGGGCCCAGGCGGCCAGGTCGAGCAGGCGGGTTGCTGAAGCGTGCGCCCTGCATGAATCGCAAAGACGTCTCGAGCGATAGCGCGATTACCAAATGAATCATGCGGAAATCCACAGCGGCAGCGTGATTCCTGAGTGTCGAGGGCGCGGCGTTTGAATCAATTGCGAGGAAATCCCACGCGACAGCGTAATTCCTGCATAAATTCTGGGGGAATCCCACAATCCCGCGCGAGAGCGCGAGTTGGGAACAAGTGGCACGCATGCCCTTTCTTGCACCAAGGAGCTGCGAAGGACAGGACGCTTCCGCCTCCTTCCCCCAGGAGATTCCTTTCGTGGCCCGGGGGGGGAAGGACGAACGACGAACGAACGACGAACAACGAAAAACGAGGTCAGAATTCTTGAACACAGCTGTGCAAAATAAAAATGCGAGGACATCTCAAACGGGAACCGTTTTTGTTGTTGTTGTTGTTGTTGTTGTTGCTGTTGTTGTTGTTGTTGTTGTTGTAAACCGTAGTCCAACAACACAATTGTCAGATTCAAAACTTTCTCTGCAAAATTAGCCTGGTGAAGGACCCAACCATATGCAGTTTGAAAACTGTCGTTGCATGCACCGCATACGCAGGAGCTCCCTATAGTGCCACGAAACGTATGAGGGTGCCAAAATTGGTCCGGGCGCATGCGACAGCAGCCGCTGGGGCGGTCGGTGGAATTCCCGATGGGGCCACGAAGCGCGTGAGAGGTGTGCCGAAATAGATGCTGTGGGCGCATGCAAACGCAGCCACTGGGGCCGTCTGTGGAGCTCCCGATGGGGCCGCGAAACGTGTGATGGGTGTGCCGAAATGGGTGCGGTGGGCGCATGCGAACGCAACCACGGGCGCCTTTAGTGGAGCTCCCTCTGGGGCCACGAAACGCATAAAAGGTGTACCAGAATGTGCGTGGGTGACGCATTCGGGCGGTGACACCGGGGCCTGCGTTGGAGCTCTCTATTGGGCCACGAAACGTGTGAGAGGTGTGACGACATGAGTGTGGGTGACGCATGCGGGCGGAGGCACTGGCGCCTTCGGTGGATCTCCCTATGGGGCTACGAAACTCGTGCAGGGTGTACCGGAATGAGCGTGGGTGACGCATGCGGGCGGTGGCACTGGGGCCCTTCGGTGGAGCTCCCTATGATGCCACGAAAGGTGTGAGGGGTGTGCCGAAGTGGGTGTGGGGGACGCATGCGGGCGGGGGCACTGGGGCTTCGGTGGAGCTCCCTAAGTATGGGGCCACGAAACGCGTGAGGGGTGTGCCGAAATGGGTGTGGATGACGCATGCGGGCGGTGGCACTGGGGCCATCGGTGGAGCTCCATATGGGGCGAGGAAAAGCGTGAGGGGTGTGCCGAAATGGGCGTGGGTGACGCATTCGGGCGGTGGCACTGAGGCCTTCGGTGGAGCTCACTATGGGGCCACGAGACGTGTGAGGGGTGTGCCAGAATGGGCGTGGGTGACGCATGCGGGCGGTGGCACTGTGGCCTTCGGTGGAGCTCTCTAGTTATGGGGCCACGAAACGTGTGAGGGGTGTGCCGAAATTGGTGTGGGGGACGCATGCGGGCGGTGGCACTGGGGCCTTCGGTGGAGCTCCCTATGGGGCCACGAAGCGTGTGAGGGGTGTGCCGAAATGGGCGTTGGTGACGTATGCGGGCGGTGGCACTGAGGCCATCGGTGGAGCTCCCAATGGGTCCACGAAACGCGTGAGGGGTGTGCCGAAATGGGCGTGGGTGACGCATTCGGGCTGTGGCACGGGGGCCTTCGGTGGAGCTCACTATGCAACCACGAAGCGCGTCAGGAGTGTGCCGAAATGAATGTTGGTGACGCATGCGGGCTGAGGCACTGGGGCCTTCGGTGGAGCTCTCTATGGGGCCACGAAGCGTGTGAGGAGTGGGTGGCGCATGCGGGCGGTGACACTGGGGCTTTCGATGGATCTCCCTATGGGGCCACGAAACGTTGTACTGGGTGGGTGAAACGCAGGGAGGAAAGAGGAGGGGAAGGACAGGGAGGAGGAGGAGGAGGAGGAGTGCGACGCGGGGCGCTGTCTCTTCAAGATGCTTGGGGAAAATCAGCAGGGTGCGAGCCCCGGGAAGGGTCACGTCGATAGAAAAAACACTATGTGCCCCTGGCCCCCAGTTTACAACAACAACGGCTCCCGCCTGAAACTTCTTCACCAGTCATTCCCGAATTGCGCTCTCGCGCGGAACGTCCTCACAACTTATACAAGAATCGCGCTCTCTCGTGCGACTTCCTCGCCTATTTTTCGTCCGCTGCGCCCTCGAAACTCAGGAATCACTATCTCGCTGTGGATTTCCTCACGATGTATGCGGGAATCGCGCTATCGCTCGAGACTCTCTCGCGATTCCTGCAAGAATCACGCGGCAACGCTGCCTGCTCGACCTGGCCGTTTGGGCCCGCCTTCCCGACCCGCCCGGTGGGGTCTACCCGCCCGTCTGGGTCTGCCCTGCCTTAGGGGCTGCACGAAATACACGTTGCAGCTAAGACAAAGAAATACCCCCAAGGGGGTACGATCGAAGACGAAGAGGGCGGGTATCGAGGGTTTGGAATTTACGTGTTGAATGGCACGCGAGCAAATAAGAGCGAAGAATCTTAAAATCATCGTTGTTGTTGTCGTCCCACCCGCGACCCGTCCTGCGACCCATCCGTGACAACCCGCGACCCACCCGCGACCCATCTCGTGATCCACCCGCTTCCCATCCGTGACCCACCCCGCGCCCACCCTCACTCTTATCCGCACCTATGGGGTGCTACATTTCTATCCCTGCCTTGGGCCCGCCGGAGGTACCACCCGTCCAGACCACTGATGCCCTCGCCATGTCTGTTCGGCGGCGGCGACTGCGGGAAACCGCAGGTGACGGATCGAGGAACAAAAGGCGGCGCAATGAAAAACTTTCGGAACTCCGCGCGTATTTCTCGGATCGGAGCCGGGCCCCTCTAGGCCCTAGCGGCCTAGCGGTGCCCCCGGCGCCGTGCCTGGCGCGCTCCGCGCACCGGGGAGAAGGGGTGCCCCAGCGCCGATCCGAGAAGCCCGCGCGGACCTTCCCTGAGATCCGACGTTGCGAAAAAATGCAGCCTCGGGAAAGCTCACGACCGAAGACGTAGACCCCTCTCTCTGCGGCAGTGTTCGAGCCCGATCGATATATGATGGTCATGGCCCAGAAACTGGGCGAAAACGCCCAGAGCAACAAACATTGCAACGCCTGGACCTCAGGGCTCGTGGAAAGTGTCTATGCTTGTGCCGCGTTTTCCCTCCTCGGTGCTGGAGAACCAGATGCCCACTCCGATGAACACGCCGTGCAAAGCGCCCTTGGACCCGCGCCGCTCCCGCGGGGACACCTCCGCGATGTACATCGGCGCGGCGATGGCCGACAGGCCCAGGCCGACGCCCGAGACGAGGCGGCTAAGCAGGAGCCCGATGACGCCCTGCGCCGTGGCGCCGAGCAGGGCGCCCACGATGAAGATCACGTCAGAGGTCATGATCTGGAAGCGCGCGCCAGCCTCGACGGACGACGACGACAACGGCGGCGGCGAAGAGCGATGCAAGGAATATGCCGACGGCGGACGACGACTCATGACCAGCGACGCCGACGACTGACGACGGCGACGGCAAGATCCGTCAGCATCGAGTCGGGAAGTCGGGACTGACCGAAAGGTGCGTCGGTTCGGGCAACATCGGCACGGAGTCTGACTTGGGGATACCAAAAGGTACCGATACCGCTACTCCCCTGGCCTCTCCTGGGGTGCGATCCGACCGGAATTCCGAGGCGAATCCAGCGGTGGCGACGAGGACTTACCAGGAGGCCCACAAAGGGGAACACAGTGGAAGGATAGCGGCACGGGCACCTTGTTTTCTCATGTGATTGACGAGATCCGATGGGCCGCCCCAGGAGGCACAACAGCACCGTGCGAGCGCCAGGACGCATCGCACCGTCGAAACATCGGAGCATCGGATCGAATATTCGGGGGCGGCCAAGAGGGGGGCGTTCAAGAGGGGAGGGCGCAAGTCATAGCCGGCGGCATGTGCGCGGCCCAAGGGGGGGGGGCCAGGGAGGTAATGAAATAAGAAGAGGCGCCATGAAATCTGGGGAAAGGTCATGGCCCACGCCATGATATCCACCCCCCCCATAGCCATCACCCCCTCTTTGCCGCCCCCGAGATGTCGGGCCCGGAAGGCGAAGGCCAGGCGCGCCGGTCTGTCACGCCAAGGGGGGGGGGAAGCGGCCCTGCAAGAGCCCGGCGGTCACGCCCGATCGCCGAGAGAGAGGATGATACAATTCCTCCTCCTCCTCCTCCTCCTCCTCCTCCTCCTCCTCCTCCTCCTTTTTCATCGGCAGGCCACTGGGCGCGTCTCCAACTCCTCCTCCTCCTCCTCCTCCTCCAACTCCGCCTCCAACTCCAACTCCTCCTCCTCCACCTCCTCCTCCTCCTCCTCCTCCTCCGCCTCTACCTCCTCCTCCTCCTCCTCCTCCTCTTCCTCCTCCAACTCCGCCTCTACCTCCGCCTCCACCTCCTCCTCCTCCTCCTCCTCCTCCTCCTCCTCCTCCTCCGCCCTCCTCCTCCGCCCTCCTCCCCACGCCCTCCTCCTGCCCTCCCCGAACGCCCGAGCGCCCGAGCCCGGCATCTCCTCTCAGCCGCAGGCACTCGGGGAGATGGGAGGGCGGGAGCCCGCGGGCGTCGGAGTTTCGGACGGCCTACAGCACCCCGTGCGATAAGCAATTCGTGTTCTTTTACACACGCACACACAGTTTCAACGCTCGATACGCTGCCGATGTTTTTGTCCAAGTTCGCCGCTCGCACGATCAACATTGAAGTGAGCAGGCCGGAGGGCTCACCAAACACCAGTTGCTTTTCGCACGGGATTGTAGATCGGCCACTGAGAACCTGGCGAGTCGGGGGTCGGAGAGAGCAGCGGGCGTCGGATCGGGCCAGCCGGCATCGGCATCGAACTGGATCGACGGGGCCCCGCCTCGTAGAGCCTGCCGGACAGGAGGGCGCCGACGGCAGCGCCCAGGTAGACCGAGGCGTTCACGAGAGCCTGGCAGGCGCGGCTGGCGAAGCAGTCAGCCTGCCACTCGTTGTTGCACCACTCGAACACTACGGGCAACAGGCCGAGGCAAGTGTCGAGGACGCACAGCGAGTACCCGAAGAGGAAGCTGCTGATGCCAGGGCAATGCCAAAGGGGGAGGGGTGTCCTCTGAGTAAGACGAAGCCAGGACGAGGACATCATCGGGCGAAGATACATCGGGAATCTCTGAGTCCCGGCCGCTCTAGAGGATTGAACGAACCCGCGGCCTTCCCAACGCTCTGAGGGCGTTCCGGCACGCTTTTGAACGCATTGATCCTCGCCCTAGACCCGCCCGACTGAAATCTGGGCAGTGCTTTACACCGGACGCTTTCGCCAAAATTCGGGCCCCGGGTCTATCACAGATCGATCTGACTCGAGCAATGCAGCAGAAGATTGAAGTCTAGGGCTCCAGCAGTGATTCCTCGCAACGTCGGATCTCAGAGTCCCCACTTCCTTGAGTAAGCGCCATTTGCCCGAGAAAGGGAGCCCCCGAAGAACACTGCAGAGGCTTCCCCCAACAGCTGCCCCTGAAGTCCAACCACCTCCTCGAGCCTTGGTCCTGAGGCTTCGATTTCCAGGAGCTGGTGATCCCCCTTGGGGCGGGGAAGACCAGGACTGCGCGTAAACCCAGCTCAGCCAACTCAGACACAAATGCGCCGCAAGTTTGGGGGCTTCCCAGGCCCAGCGCAGCCCATCTGCAAGGCCACTTCCAAGGCCGCGAGCGGCTCCCAAGCCCGGCTCAACCAAACTCGGGTATTGCAGGACCCTGCAGCGCTGAACCTCGGTATTCTGCAGCATCCCTATGGGCCTATCACAACATGTTCCCTGAACGGAAGAATGTTCTCAAAACAACAGGAATTCCCTCAGAGCTCTAACAATGCGCATCAAAACAAACCTGCCCCAGCCAGAAACGTTCTAAGAGCATGTTGTGCAAAGCACGGAAATTTACACCTTGGAGGCGGCCAGGCGCTCTTCACCCCTCGGGACCACAAACACAAATCGGTCAGGAGGAAGGGGGGGCGCCGCCACATCCGCTCAGAATCCGTCCCTGGACTCCTCCTGGGGTCCATCTGGTGCAATTCTTTCGCCCCCCAGATCCGTTTCCGACCGTCCCGGAGCCCGACAACGGCCCCTCGGGGGCAGGACAAGGTCGACCACCGACCCGAGCTGCGAGCCTGCTCGCCCTCCCTGCTGGCCAGAACCAGTGTTAAGCCGGGCCTGTCCCCCTACAGAGGCATTTTCGACGAAAGATAAAAAAGTACCCAAAAAATAATCAAAACATAATCCAGAAATAGTCTGGGGACTATTTTTTAGTATTAGTTTGACCTTTTTGGTGCATTTTTAGTGTATTTTTTATTTTCCATCGAAAATCCCCCTGTAGGGGGACACGCCCGACATAAAACCAGTGCTGGGCCTCCTCAGACCCCCAGACAGCCCCAACTTCGAATTTTCTATGACGGGCCCACTGCTGGCGGCGCGCACAGAGGGGGCAGGGGGAGGGGGGAAGGCTCCTGAGAAGGAGGCTGCTTCTTAGAAGGCGCGGGCCTCACATCTGCAGACCAGGCCCGCGCCTTCGAAGACGCAGCCGCCTTCTAAGCAGCCTCCCCCCGCCCCCCTACCTCCCTCTGCGCGTGGGCGCTGCTCGAGTTGCGTGCGCCCCGAGCCCTGGTGTTGTGGATGCCACGGCAATGGACACCCTCACAGTCCTATCATCGAATTAAACATGTGTTTAAAATGTCGGAAGCTGCACTGAGAATGCTTAAACACATGTTTTTACATGCTTTAAACAGTTTTAACACATCTTCTAGACATCTGGACATGTTGTTGGCAACATGCTTCCTCTCGTTCGATCGTCCTCCACAGCCCTGGTGGCAATTCCCCCCCCCTCTCAGCACTGCCCGCGATGAGGGCACAGCAGGCCGCAGCGTGCGCCTCGCCCCTGTTGGGCGGGTCCAGTGCCGCCGGGGCTGGCCGCGCCGCGGGATCCGCCCCGCCGTCGGGCGTCGCGTCGCCTTCTCGTGGCAACTCGTGGGGGCCTCTCCCGTGTCTCGGCGGCGGCGCCCGGGGGGGAAGTGAGAGGGATAAGGCCTGCTCAGAAAGCTCGGAAGGCCCCTGGCCTGCTGAGAAGCTCCCCAAGCCTTCTCCGAAGGCACTGAAGGAGGCGCAGGGGGCTTCTGGGAAGTCACGGCGCACTCTGGGAAGGCCTCCTCCTTCTCACTTTCCGCCCCCTCTCTCGCCGCCGATTGTCATCTTGCTGGCTGGACGCTGCGGGGAGGCAAGAAACACTCAGGGCTGGAATCGCTGCGGACATAATCAGTAGAGGAGGGACAATCGCGCTGGATTGGCCTGCAAAACAGATTAAAAGGGAGACCATGCCCCACCAACAAAATCTTCAACGCGGAAATCTCCATAATACGTGCATCTGTTTGCCAGAATGATTCCGGCTGCGAGCGTCTGCGCGCGAGAGAGTCTAAAGACTAACGGGTCTGAGTTTGATACTCTGTGAACAGGTGGGTCTGTGAACAGGTGAGTCTGAGTGTGGATGACTCTAACTATTAAATGTGGGTGTGAGTGGTCTAAGTGTGAGTGTGAGCGTGAGTGTGAGTGTGAAAGGTCTGAGAGTACCTTAGTGTGAGTGTGGGTGTGAGACGTCTGAATGGTCTGAGTGTGGATGGTCTGAGTGTGGATGGTCTGCGTGTAGGTGTGAGCTCAGGCACCGCGTACTCTGCACGGGAGCAGGCACACCGCCCGAGACATCCCCACAATCTGGGCCTCTCGAGGTGCTGAAGAAGCCAGCGCTCCTTCTGAGACATCCTCGCAATCAGCCCTGCACGCAGACGAGCCTGGGGCCCGAAGCGCGCAAACCGCCCGAGACGATCCCGCACTCGTGGCGCGAGCGGGCCCGTGATCTGCCCCCCGGCGGCTCGCCCCCGGGGGCGCCGGGGCCAGCGCCCCGCCTGCGACACCTTCGCGGGCTGCTCCGGAAGCAGGGGTTGCTGCGCATGCGAACAGGCCAACCGCCCGAGCCATCCCCGCCACCGGGGCGCGACTCCCAAAGGTGCCCCCGTCCTGGCGGCTTCCCCGTGAGGGTGCTGAGACCAGCGCCCCGCAGGAGGCGTCCTCACAAACTGCTCCCGAAGGCAGACAACGGTGCGCACGCTCACGAGCACAAGGCCGGAGACATCCTCGCAATCGGGGCGCAGATCCTGGAGCGTCCCCACCTTGGCGGCTCACTCTCTTGGGGCGCTGGAACCAGCGCGTCGCCTGAGACATCCGCACAGACTGCTCCGAAAGCAGAGAGTTGCGCGCGAGTCCCAGATAGTCCCCACCGTGGCGGCTCGCCCTTGGGAGTGCTGCAACCACCGCCTCGCCTAAGACATCCTCACCAGCTGCGCCGAAAGCAGAGGATGTTGCGCATGCAAAAAAGCAAACCGCCTGAGACATCCCCGCAACCTGGGCGCGGATCCTGGAGTGTCCCTACACCTTTCGTGGCTCCCACTTGGGGTGCCCAAGTGCCACGCCTGCTATATCGCGTGAGTGTGAAATGCGAATGAGTATGGATATGGGTGAGTTGGAGTATGAGAGGGTCTGAGTGTGAGCGAATCTGACTACGAGTGAAGATGAGTGTCAGGGAGTCTGAGCATGAGTGAGTCTGCGCATGAGCGGGCGAGTCTAGACAAAGGAGGGTGTGAGGTGTGTGAGGGGGAGGAGGTCGGGAGGCGTCTCAGTAATAGCAAGAGCCACATCGTACAATAGGGGAAACCAACAAACCTTGCGGTAGCCCCAAAGCGATCCCAACTGGTCCAACGACGTCTGCTACGACAAAAGCAAGCCGCAACGACAGCCACATCACGCAGGGCCGAGGGAATTTAACACAGGCGGGTGGCTTCTCAGACAGTTTACACTACCATTTATGGCATTCGGCGCGGATCGACAAGGGAAGCACTGCCTGCCAGACGCCCCGAGCATGCAACGCAACCGGGCCCCACGCCGCTTATGCTTTCAAGCCTCCCTATCATAGGCGCCAGTGGACGCTAATCGACGCGAGCTGGCGCTGATCCGACCCTACTCTGGGGAAGCCAAAAGGCACCGATACCGCTACTCCCCGGGCATCTTCCGGGGTGCGTCCTGACCATAATCTCGAGGCAAACCCAACGGCGGCGACGAGAGCCTCCCGGGAAGGCGAAGAAGGGGGAAACGGGCGAAGGGTAGCGGTATGGGTACCTGTTCCTCCTCTGATGATCGACGCTGGATCGGCGCTTCCTCACCGGCGACCACACGACAACGTCAGGGCATGCACTCCGAAATCGGAACTTCGACCACATGCTTATGAAGGGGCCCTGGGACACACAAATAAACTCACACACACAAATAACATGATTCCCCATATTTTCAAATAGTTCCTGGGTTTTTGTCTTCCCCCCCACTTCCCATCTTTCCCTGGGGCATCGACGATGCATTGCGTCTGTCTGCTCTTCCCCCCTCCGTCATGGCAGGCACTCCGAAATCGGAACTTCGATCACAGGCTCAAGGCTCCCACGAGCTGCCACCGGCCACGAGCGGCGGCCGTGTCCGCAGCCGCTTCCTCGCAGCTTTGCTTCTCCGCCCCCTGGGATCCGGCGTCTCGGGCACACTGCAGCATCGCAGGGCAGATCACGAAGAGAGCTCCGAACCTTTGGTCTCTCCGCGCCAGTCTTGGAGCAGGATCGATGCGCGAGGGTGCCGGGGCCCGAAGCGGGGCGAAAACGCCCGCTGTGGGGAACAAGCAAGCACGCCGCGCCAGGATCTCAGGGTCCTTCCTTCTCTTTTCCGTCTGGTGGCTGGTCGTTGGCATGTCTGGTGCAGTCGGACCCAGGCCAGACGAACATCCCTGAAGAACATGAGACACTGCGTCTGCAAAAACAGACGGAATATCCCGGGGCACCCCCACAGGATGCACAAGAACATCCAGCAAACACGAAGAACACCAGGGCACCCTCCCCTAACCGACCTCGATCTTCTACCTCGGTCCGAGTGCGTGTCTTTCGGCGGGGGGCACACCTCCCTCCAGTAAACCTCCCTGTAGTGAAAGCAGCCTGGGACCGAAACCGACGGACCTGGACCCGCAGAGAGGACGGCCGCGACGCCCTCCTCGCGAACCCGAAAACGGCCAACTCGCTAATCGACGTGTCAGGGCAGGAGGTCCGTCCACCCCCGAAACACCAGGGCACCCTCCCCGCACCGACCTCGGTCTTCACACCTCGGCCCGAGCGCATGCCTCTCGCTTACGAGCCGAGCCGTCGCCTCTCCTGCCGCTCCTCGCGGGCAGCTTCCGGTGGAGGCAGTCGGCGAGCGCCATGGCCCGGCGGCGGGGCGCGAAATCCTGGGGGGGGCGATCACTTGCCGTCGCTCGGACGTCCATTGCCCGTGCGCTTTTGGGTCTCGTGCGCGTTTTTTCTTTTGCCGATGGTCCAGGAAGGTCCTTGATGGTTCTCGCCGAGAAAACCATGCACACGTCCGAGCGATGCCAGGATAAGTGAGGGGGGAGAAACAGGTGCCCTCTGCGGGCCCTGAAGGCTCCTCCTCGGGGCCCGAAAGGGCCCCTCTCGGGGCCCTGAATGGCCAGCTTCCGGCAGCCCTCGCTGCCCCCCCACCTCTAAAACAAGGCTAGGATCGGGATAAATCGCTTCAGAGCGTTCTGGACCGCTCTCAGAGCGTTCCGGAACGCTCTGGAGCGGCCGCGGCGCCCAATACATCCTCCAAACCCGCCGATTCTCAGAGATTTCGAGTTATCCCGATCCGATTTTGTCCCGATCTTCGCGTCGTCCGACCTCTATCGCCCCCCCCCCCACTGCGCGCCCTCCACGGCGGGCGGCGGGGTGCGCTGCCTGGCCCGGCCCTGGCCCGTCCCCGGCCGCGACCGGAGGGTGCTGCTGGCACCTTTGTAGCCGAAACGGCTGCGGACGGGGGGGGAGAGCAGGAGCCGAGCACCGTTGCCCCCGATCCCGATGCCCACAGCTGGCGTGGCCTGGGCCCCCACTGGCCGATTCGCCCCCTCGATGGGGACGTACGCCGTTCTCTTCGAGCTTCGAGGGCGCATCCTCAACTGGGGTGGTTGCTGGCATGGTGGGGTCAGGATACCATGGCCCGGTGGGTCTGGGGATGGGATCAGCAATACTGAAGATCGGGAGGATAATGAGGGAGAGTAAGGAGGAGAATGCAGGATCGGTCAGAGTCGAATCGAGAAGTCCGGCAGAAATCCATATCAAATCGGATCGGTCGAACCGAAATGGACCCTGGGAGCCAGGATGTCCAGAATAGAGATGGCCAAAAGAAAAATGGCCAGGATGCCCAGAATGTAGAGGAAGAGCGGGAGAGGAGGATGAGGAGATGGCCAGGATGTCATGAGATGGACGATGCGCAGGGACAGAAGGGCTCGCAGGAGGGGTCGGAGGATACATATGAACATAGCTAGAATCTCCAAGAAACAGCCTTGCGACCTGGCGACTGGCTGGGCTCGCAATGTCGCGGCTGACGCCCAAGCACTGAACTGCAGAAGCAGGAGAGGGATAGAGAGGTCTCGGCACTACGACGAGCAACATGCAATTTGAGAAGATGAGTATAAGGAGAAGGACATGGAGAGTGAGAAGCGACCACCGGAATGGGGTCCAAACGGCGAAAGGGAAGCATGACGAGCAGCAGAAGAAGCGGACAACGACGAATGTAAAAGGGCATAATGCTCCATGAAGAGGGAGGAGAGGACGAAGGACCAACACGAGGAACAGCCAGAACACATACGAAAGAGAAAAGTGCCCAACGGAACGAAGAAGAGACCACATCGATACCGATACGATTTCCTGGCTTGCGCCTGATGGGCCTCGTTAGGCCCCGCCTCGTCACGGCTGGATTTCCGCCCCGAAATTCTGGCCAGAACGCACCCCGTAAAAGGGCCCAGAGAGTAGCCACATCGGTATTTACTGTGGCTTCTCCGGCTGCACGCAGAAAGACAAACATAGGGGAGAGAGAAAGAGAGAGATAGAGAGACGGAGAACCCAAATGCTGCGGGCATTGGGCACGAAGGAGAAAAAAAGGCGGACGTCAACGATGGGGAGGACGAGGAGGTGGAGGAACGGAAGACAAGAGGAAAGGAAAGGACATGACGAGGTGGAGACGGGAGAAAATACCCAGGATCCACAAACAGATGGGCACGGCGGAAAACTCAAAGAAGTGAGAAAGACTGGAAAAGGCCAGGAAGAGGCGGAGGAGGACGTGGACAAGACGTGGCATCCAACCCCATCCACCGTCGTGGACGCGGGCAGTTCACAGGCGTCTGTCGTCTGACTTTGTTCCGCCAGCCTTGCATTGCCTGCGTCCGCAGCTTGAGCTTCTTTGAATCGGATTTGCAAGCAAGGGCGAGGACTAGGACACTCACCTCTTTCGAGACAACCCCGCCGCGGAAGTCCAATAAAGGATGAAAGGGCATCTAACGAACCCCAATCACCCGCACGACAAATTCGCTAATGCTGCAATTTGCCGCCAAATTACCGAGGCTGGCAACCGTCGGCAAGCAAACCGCGCCGATGCCACACTAAGAGAACGCTTGCAAAGGGCGGCACGCCTTGATAGCTACTTCTTTCTGGCGATCTTTGGTCACGCCTTTTCTGCAGATGCTCGATGTGCCCTCGCCTGGGCACGGCGGGGGGGTCCGCGGATGAGGAAGAGCAGGGGAAGGATGGGGAACATGTCGCCCCGCCGCCGTCGCTGCCGTCGTCGTCCCTCCTCGGGCACGCAGATCTCTAGCGGGCCGCCCTCAACCTCCCCGGCTGGGGCCTCCCCCTTTGAGAATCCCCTCATGACGTCACCCCCCAGCCCGACGAGGAGGAGGAGGAGGAGGAGGAGGAGGAGGAGGAGGAGGAGGAGGAGGAGGAGGAGGAGGAGGAGGAGGAGGAGGAGGAGGAGGAGGAGGAGGAGGAGGAGAGAGAGAGAGAGAGGAGGACGAGGAGGAGAGGAGGAGGAGGAGGGAGGAGGAGGAGGAGGAGGAGGAGGAGGAGGAGGCTGTCCTCGCGGGCGTCTGCAAGCCCGGCTGGTCGCGGGCCGGACGAGAGCGCGGTCTCGTAAAAGGGGGGTCCGCGAATCAGCTCGCGGAGGAGGAGAAGGAGGAGGAGGAGGAGGAGGAGGACGAGAAGAAGGAGGAGGAGGAGGAGGACGAGGAGGAGGAGGAGGAGGAGGAGGAGGAGGAGGGGGCCAATCGGGTGCTGCTAGAAGTGTCCTTGGCCACAGGTGTCCCCAGCTTCCCGTTCCATGCTGGAAGCCACTGGGGCCCCCCTGGGCCTCGCGAGGGGTGCTCTGAAAGCCGTGGGGGCCTCCTTGGAAATCCTTCGAGTAGGGGTCGACTACAGTTTCGCACTCTCGGCAAAAGAATCAGTTTGGGGTTGGATGAATTCTGTCGTCGATCCCATCGCCGAATCCTGGGGGCACCTTGGGCCAGGCGCGCTCCTGGCAGCCCCCGAGCAGAGCCCCAACGTGCCGAGGCGGAGGCGGGCACCAGCTGCCCGCAGCAGCTGCCGCGCCCGCTTTCCCTTTTTATTGTTTGGACACGAAGCGCGCACGACCCCGATCAGTGCGACGAGGGAGTCGGACTCGATTGGACAGGACACGCGCGAGGACACAAGACCCTTTCGAGGGCCACATTGCCAATGGGTCGCAAGACACAGGACACGAGGGTACCCTCGATTTGGCAGGGTCGACCTACTAATCCGGGCCGCCTGCAGTGCAGAGCGAACCAAGGATATAATCGACTGACGCCCTTGAGACCTTTAAGTGGGGGGGCCCGCCTCCGCCCTTTCCCTGCGCCCCCCCCCCTGTCGCAGGACTGGAGGGAAGCCATGGCTGGCATCGAGAACACCCCTCTTCTCGGCGGCGAGCGAGGGGGAGGGGCAGTACGAAGGGGTGGGCCTCCTCAGGAGGATCGGAAGTCCACGAGCCTTCTGAAAAAATCCGGAGTCTTCCCCGAAGACGCAGCTTCTCAGAAGGCCGGAGGGCTTCTGAGAAGCCCCGCCGCCTTCTGAGGGGGGCTTCTCCTTCTCACTTCCCCCCCTCGCTCGTCTGCTGTATTCCGGATTCGAGACGAAGTGCGCCTTCAAGGAAGTGCCTCGGGCGCGGCGCTTGACTGGGGACTGACGCGCGACGCCCCCGACGCCTCGAATTACCCCGCTCCGGGCAAGGACAACTCAGCGAGGTGATCTCTTACCTTGCCTGTGGGGGGGGGGGGGAATGGCCTGAGCCGTGGGCGAAAAGCATCTCCGTATCCGCAGCCTAGCTGGCTGGGCCTCTGGGCCTCTGGAACATTTCTTTCTGCGGATACCCCGCGTGGAGCGTATCCGAGCGATCCTGCGATCCGCGGAATCGCGCCCCAGAACCCAGACAGTGATGGCGCGGACACGGATGTGCTCGCCGCTGGTAATTGGGGTGGTGGTCGTGGTGGTGGCAAATGCCCTCTTTGACTACATGACGCGGGTCCACCGTGGAGGATCACCAATCCACACGCAGCACACATGTATGCACCACACACGAAGATGCGCCCCAGACTTGGGCGATCAGCCACGCCGCAAGAGGGGCGCATCTTCACCCACCGAACTACCCAACTGGTGCGATCCATCCACCAATGGTCGGCAAGGCTCACAATGCTTGCTCAAGCTTCTGCACATGTCTCGGTATAGAGTTTCCGCCGCCGTCCTGGCCGGCACGATCTGGCAGCAAAGCGCACAGCCCATGACCCCAGAAAGGGACCCTGATACGACGCAACGTTTTTCCCAAGGCGAGATCCGGGCACGCTCGGCCGGCGCGATTGATCCGTCGAGAACGAGCCTTACAACCCCCATTCGCGAGAAAATCTGATCGTAGGTTTGCTCTTGCCGACGATTAGGCTGCTCATGTATGCCCTTTCCCTGCGAGCATGAATCCCCTCATCCGTCGCCCCAGAAAACACAGATCGAGCTCACTGCCCCCCAGCGAGCTTCAACCTGAAAGAGAGAGCCCTGGGAAGGTCCCGAGACCGCCGCCCAGCGAGGCATCATGCAGTGGGATCTTGACCACAAGAAACCCCCCACAAGAAACCCAACCCTGAGACCCCAGGACGTCCTTGGAGTTGGGGTGTGGGAGCGTCATGCCTTCCATCGCAAGACCATCGAAACTCAAGAAACCCAGGGCACCCTGGAGGCAAGCAGGGTGCTTCTTGTACCTGCCGTCTGCCCACGCGTCAGCATCGCACACCACGGACGGCAGCGGGCCAGCAGTGCGCACACAGCCGCCCGACGCCCCTCCCCCCACCCTTGGGATCGATCCTGTGATTGGCAGTGAAGAGGACCTCTAACACTTTAGGAGCGGACCTCAGTTAGGAGGGCCAAACAAATTAGGGATAGGAGGGCTCTTCTGAAGCTGTACCAGACCAGACCTCCCATAATCATGATCCCTGCTGCGAAGACGGGACCTAAGTGAGGTAACAACTTCATCGTGTTTTTGGGATTAGGTGTCCGTTCGCTTTTTCGATGATCCGAACGGGCCCCTTTTCGTGCCACCATCGGGGCCCTGAAGCGAACCGCTACAGCAGACACGCACACACACACAGCAGAAGACATCTGGCTACGATGAAAATGTTGGGGCACGTGTTTCGTCGATCTCCGAGGGTCCTGAGGTGGCCGGGGACCCCTGCGGGTCCCTGGGGCCATCGGGGGATACGAAGCTTCCATGGGGCACCCGTTGGAAAGAACACATCGATGCGTCTACTCGACTCGGAAATGTCTTCGGGGCCCAGACTAGGCATCGCCAAGAGCCCTGCACTGCTCAGTCTAGGACCAATCACCCCAGACCCCGACGCAATTCCCAAATTTCCTGTGGTGTTGGGTATTCGCTTTGGAGAGACAGCGCTCCGCGTTTCCTTCCTCCTTCATTCTGCCCCTCCTCTCTCCTCCCAGCCCTGTTTTTGCCCTCCGCGTGTCAACCAGGTCGGCACACCCTTCACGCGCTTCGTGACCCTGTGGGGAGCTCCACCGAAGGCCCCAGAGATCGCGTTCGCATGCGTCTCCCCCACCCAATACACCGCTTCGTGGCACCTTGGGAAGCTCCACTGAGGGCCCAGAAGGCGCCGTTCGCATGCGTTTCCCCTACCCAGTCAAGCGCTTCGCGCCTCCATAGGAAGCTCCACCGAAAGCCCCAGAGGCGACGTTCGCATGCGTCTCCTCTGCCCAATCAAGCGCTTCGCGGCCCCAGAAGGACCTCCACTGAAGGCTCCACAGGCGACGTTCGCATGCGTCTCCCCCACCCGGTACAGCGCTTCGTGGCCCCATACGGACCATAGGGAGTTCCGCCGACGGCTCCAGATGTCGCGTTCACATGCGTCTCGCTGGCCGTACATCGCTTCGCGGCCCCATCGGGGGGCTCCACCGAAGGCCCCAGAGGTCGCGTTCGTTTGTGTTCCCCCCGCCCAGTACGGAGCTCCACTGAAGGCCCCAGGGGCGACGTTCGCATGCGATTCCCCTGCCCCGTAGAGCGCTTCGTGGCCCCGTATGGGGGCTCCACCGAAGTCCCCAGAGGCGACGTTCGCATGCGTCTCCTCCTCGCAGTACAGTGCCTGGTGACCCCGAGAGCTCCAGTGGCCGCGACTGCAAGTGCATCCTCATCCAATACAGCGCCTGGTGGCCCCATAGGGAGCTCCACGGAAGGCCCCAGTGGGTGCGTTCTCCTGCATCTCCCCCATGCAATACTACGCTTCGTGGTCCCATACAGAGCTCCACCACAAGCCTCAATGGCCACCGCCACATGCATATCCGCCAACCGGTACAATGTTTCGTGGCCCGATGGGAAGCTCCACCGGACCCTCCATTGGCCGCTGCCTCGTGCGTCGTCCCCACCCAATAGAGCGCTTCGAGGCCCCTTGGGAGCTTCACCGAAGACCCCAGTTGCCGCAGCCGCATGCGTCTTCCCCACCCATTACGGCACACACCTTACGCGCTTCGGAGCTCCACCGAAAGCGGTACCCACAACGCGTCACTCACTCCTGCATCTGATCTGGTCCTTCACCAAGATCGATGTATCTTGTTCACAGCGTCTACATGAATTTGTTGCGGGCGGCAGGTCTGGAGGTGGACCTGGACGCCACGAAGTCAGCTACATCTTGGTGAAAAGATTTGGCCGTCAACTCCATCTCAAGGAAAGGAGTTTGCCGTCAACTCCGACTTGACGAACCCACATTGACGGCCTCCATCCGAATTGACGACCTCATTTGACGGCCTCTCCGAGTAGACGAACGCCGCTGACGGCCTCCCTCCAAGTTGACGAACCCCCACGACGAACCCCGTTGACGGCTTCCCTCTGGGGTGACGAACCCCTGTGACGACCTCCTCCAGATGGATGAGCCCCATTTGACGGCCCCCCTCGCCGCCCCCTCCGTCTTGACGAACAAACGTCGGGGCCGAGCTGATGGTTAAAAACGACCTGGATTTTGACGAACAACATGTCGGGGCCGACTTGACGGCTCCTCTCGTCTTGACGGACGAAATGTTGGAGCTGAATTGGCGATTGCTTTCGCCTTATCGAAAGTAGTCTTGGGGCCGACTTGACGACCGTTGTGGGCGCTTCTCCAGACATGCGCCGTCTCAGCCACTGGGTTGGACTCAAGCGTCTACCTCCCATGGGACCCACTCCCCTAGCTTATCCCGAGTCGTGTTTTACCTGTCCTGGGGCCTGGTGAAGGCCCCAGAGCCCGAAAACTATCAAAAGCCTTCCACCACACATCGACGTCCCCATCGCAAAGGCCACCCTCAGCACGCTCGCGAACGAGATCCAGCTGGCACTTCGCGCACAGAAAACCAAAGAACCAGGCGAACGTTCGCGCTGCCGTGCACTGCGGTACCACCAGCAGTACACTCCGCCTGCGCCGCCTCGGCGTGCCGACGTGATATTTTCATGACCCGAGGGGGTCTGGGATGACCAGCCTCGAGCGTATCCCCTGAGATTGGCAAGCCCAACAAACGACGACAATCTTAGATGCGCCCTCAGGAACTGCTGGAACCTGTAAGATCAGCATCGAGAGAAGGTGGTGCCGATCATAAGGGTAGGGGTATGTTCCAGGCTGGCAATGGGACTTGGATCCGGCGGAGGGTCTGAATTGGATGGGGACCAAGAGAATCGAACAAGATAGGGGGGGGGAAGACCGCATATCCGCTCAAAATCGGCGTCCATCTCAGACCTTCACCCTGGATCCGCTCTCCGCGGCCCCCGGCGCCTGGACACGGCCCCGGAGGCCGACCGAAGCAGACGACCCGCCCGAACCCGGCGCCTCGGGCCCGCTCGCCGGGACCGCCGCAGACGCCCGGCAAGGCTCCCGGAGGGGGCAGCACCCCGCGGCCCTCCCCTGGCCTCTCGCATGTCCATGGGCGCGGCTCGACTTGGAAGCGAACAGGGGGCAGCGACTGCAGAAGCCCCTGAAGTGGGGCGGGCAAGAAAGCTGGGCAGCGTGACTTACCTTCTTTGCTGGTTCGCGTCCACGGCCCGGGGCCCCGCGCCGCCGAGCCGTGGCGGGCCGCGCGGGCCCCCCGAGAGGGAGCGCCCGAGGGGGCCTCGGCCAGCTGCCGAGGCTCGGGGGCGTCGATCCGGGAGGTGGGCGCGTCCGGGAGGTGGGGCTCGCAGGGCAGGGCCCGAGGCACGCGCGCGGACGCGGGGGGAGCAGGGGGCGCATCGCCCCCGCCCTGGTTGGTCGTCGCCCCCCCTCCCGGCCAGCCCCGCCCAATCGTTGGGCAGCCACAGCGGAGCCCTGCCCCTGCAGGCCAGGTTTCCGAAACGGCGGCCGGGGCTCAGAACCCGAATGATGAATCCAGCGGGGGCGTCCGATACGCCAGCGTCGGTTGCATCCGCAGGGGCAGGGTTCGCCCTTGGCCGTAGAGTCGTACACATGGGGACGGAGAACGAGGAGAAGGGTGGGAGTGTCAAGGCTTCGGGATGTGCACAGAACTCGCCAACGCTCGGACGTCCATTCCATGTGCTTGTTTCGGTTTCGTGCGTGGTTCCTTCGCCAAATGATTAAGGATGCTCCTCGATTGTCCTCGCTGAAGGAAAAATGCACACGTCCGAGCGATGCCAAGAGAAGACCCCCCCCAGGCAGTCCCGGCGGGCCGACACCCCGGCGCAACTGCTGGCGACGCAACCGTGGCGCCCCGGGCCCCAGGGTTGAGGTGTTGAGACCGCCCAGGGCTGCTCGGGGAACGTGTCGAGGCCAGCCAGGGCTATTTGCGGGGGGGGGGCTGTTTGTGAGCAGCCCGAGGCCTTTGCAAGACTGGCGGGAGGAGGGAGGAAGAGCAGAAACGTGGGGAACGATGGAGGAGAAAAACGCCGACGACCTGGAGGGCGAGAGGGATGATGAGGTAGGCGCCCAGTTTGGTATTGCTGGTGGTGGTGATGAAGAAGTGTAGGGAAAATAAAAAAGAAAAGAAGGCGGAACAGAAGGAAGTAGGAGAGAATGATGCAAAGGAATGTAGGACAATTATGGAGGAGCGAGGAAAGATACAGGAGAGACGAGAATGAACAGGGGAAGAGAGGTGTGCTGAACATTGAGCCTAGACCAGACCACGTCAGTCTCCATACCATTCGAGCGCCCAGGGGCGCCCATGATGTCATCTCTGCCCATCAGCATGTAGTACTTACCCAGCACCAGCACCTCGAATTCCAAGCGCTCTGACTCACGCCTCCTCCTCCTCCTCGTCCTCATCCTCCGTCATGTTCCCTTCCTCGCCGTCCTTGTCCATCCTCCTCCTGCAGACCGTGCTTCTCATCCCATTCATCCCCCCCTCCCACCTGCTGCTTCCACCCCCTCCATCTCTCTCTGCCTTGCTGCCCCGATTCTCCTCCTCGCCCCTCGCGGGAAAAGGCGGGGACGACCTGTGATGCCGTGAGCAGAGGGGGGGGGGGGGGGCGGGTTGGCGAAAACAACGAGACGGGCTGGGGGGGAAACGCTATCCCCCGCTCCGTCTCTCTATCCCTCTCTCTCTCCCGATCGATTTGTTATTGATTGGTTTGTGCTGTTTGTTCTTTCTCTCCCTTTCTCTCTCTCTCTCTGGCTCTCGATATACATTTATACATATATACATATATATGTATGGAAGATCGCGCTCACACAATATGAATACATTTTAGGATTGCATATGAACATATACGCATAAACGTGTGACTATATCTATATATATATATACATAGAAATATGTACTAGAACCATTGCGTACTTCGCGCGCGCTGAGGTTTTAGCTAGGCTAGATGATCGAGCACTTGGGAATTTCTATTCCATGCAACTTCTTCCCCGGGGCTTCCAAGAGCCACAAAGACGGCACAAGTTGCTTCCAAGATGTTTTACGGTCCACCCACGACGGCTTAAGACAGGCCTACGAGGCACTTCGGGGGCCCTTTTATTCGCCGCGGCTGGAAGAAGCCGGAGGAAGAGGGAGGAGAAGGGGAGGTGAAAGGGTTCCCTGGGGGAGAAGGGGAAGGAGGATGAGGAGGAGTTGGAGAAGGTGGAGGAGGCCGCAGAAGAGGAGGCACCAGAGGAGGAAGAGGAGGAGGAGGAGGGAATCTGATATTTTCGTGTTTTACCAGCGTGGCGAAGCTGCAATGCGACTAACAAACAAATGTTGAAATTCCAGTTTCTGTCAAGTGCACTCGGGACATCTTTGGGGCTTCTGGGGGACCTCTTGAAGCCTCCTGGGGGTCTCCTGTGGCGAAGATCTCGGGTTCTCGGCTCACGTTCTTGATTCTGGGCCGCGGTTAGGGCCCTCTCGGGCCGTCTTGGACGTCTCTTCGACGCTCTTGAAGCTTATTGGGCTGTCTTGGGGGGCTCTTGAAACCTATTGGGCCGTCTTGGGGCGATCCTCGGAGCCTCTTGGGGCGTTGTGCAGCGTCGGGAAGCGGAACAGGCGGAAACGCCAAAAGTGTTCAAAATCCCGTGGGAAATACGTGTTTCTTGTTCTCTTCGAGCTCTGTCGGGAGACCTCTTGGAAGCCTCTTGGGTATCTTGGGGGCCTCTTGGGCCGTCTGGAGGCCGTCTGGAGGCCGTCTTGGACCATCAAGCGATCTTCGGCTTATCCCGTCACCCACTGTGCCTGGGTTGTGGGTTAGAGGCATCTTGGAAATTGTTTGGAATTCGCTGGAGGCCTCCCGGGGGCCTCTTGAAGGCAGTTTTGGATGCCTCTTAGGGGGCCGTTTGGGGCGCTCTTGGGGCGTATTTCGGAGCCTTTGGGGGGGCCTCGTGGGGCCTCCTGGGGGCCTCCTGGGGGCCTCTTGGGGCGGAAGGCTCGAATTGTCGGTTCGTGTTCCCTCTCTTGGGCCCCTCTTGGGGCCGTCTTGGGGCCCTCTTGGGCGGTCTTGTGCGCCTCTTGGGCCGTCTTGGGGCACTCTTGGGCCGTCTTGGGACTCTCTTGCGCCGCCGTGGCACCCTCTGTGGGTGCCTCTTGGGCCGTCTTGAGCTGATCTCTGGGGCCTCGTGGGCTGTCTCGGACCGTCGGAAGCACGAAACAGCGAACACACGAGTACCTTGCGAAACTAATCGAACAAATAAACTTGTTTCGCCTCCTGAGTTCCTCGAGGGAGTCCTTTTGAGGGCATTTTGGCTGTCTTGGAGCCCTCTGGGGCCGTCTTCAAATCATGTTGGACAAATTTGAAAACGCTCTCCTGCGGTCTTGGACTCTCTGGGAGCGCTCTTGGGCCGTCTTGGCGCCCTCTTGGACGTCTTTCGGGTCCTCTCGTCGCCCCCCTCCCCCTCCTTTGACGCGTTCGGGCGCGCCCGACAGGCCCGAAACGGCGGGTAAATCAGTGCACTCCGGTGCCCCTGGGGCACCTTCCATATATATATATATATATATATAAATAGATATAGTATAGATATACGTGTAACTATATATGTTAATATATGTAGCACCCGGACACCTTCCCCCCACATACATATATATATATGTATGTATATGTGAATATATATATATATATATATATATATATATATACGTAGCACTCCTCAATTGCGGGTAAGAGTGAGGGGGCGGGCGCGGGGTGGGTCGCGGGTGGGTCGCGGGTGGGTCTTGGGGTGGGTCGCGGGTGGTTCTCTGGAGGGTCGCGGGGGGGTGGGTCGTGGGTGGGTCGCGGGTGGGTCGCGCGGGTGGGTCGCGGGGTGGGTCGCGGGTGGGTCGCGGGGTGGGTCGCGGGTGGGCTGCGGGTGGGTCGCGGACGGGTCGCGGAGCGGGGGGGGGGGACGACCCAACAAAACAACAACAACACCACCACCACCACCAACAACAACAACAACAACAATTACTAGCACGTGGGGACACTCCGTTCTCACCAGTGCCAGGGTTTTCATAGGAGGCGGGCAATACCCCCACTTTGTGGGGGGGCCGGTTCAAGCTCTACCAAATTTCCAAACGACTCTTCGCCACCACCCACACCCAGCTTCCCGCCCTATGACGTTCGGACACTTCACTTCGTGGCATGCGGACGACCGTGGCTACTATTCAGGGCCCCGCGGCCGACGACGACGGCGTGCGCGCGCGAAGAAAAAACGAATGTGTCCCGCATGGTATTATTTGACAGGGATGATGGCCCTGGCAGGTGCGCAACCGTTGTCGCAGAAGTTCGAAAAAGTTGCTCGCAAAAGCCCGTTTGACAGAAATGTTTAAAAAGTGTTGGGTTTCCTACGAATCCGCAAGAGCGCGCGGGATGAGATTTTGACAATTTTTTTGTTGAAAAACCATTGGTTTTTTGATGTTTTTATGTTAAAATCGCTGCGAACACTAAGGTTTTGGAAGGATTTCGTCTTGCGCGCGCGAATGTCCACTTTACCTTATTTTTTGCAAGGGATTCTTGAAATTTGATTATATTAGAACAAGAAATGTCATTTTCTATTGTTTTTTGCAAGGGAAAGCGGATTACAACAAAACAACCGGATCCTGTACACACCCTCTTTTCTGAGGCTTCCTCACGAAAATGATGAAAATGTAGCTGCGGCCTAGGCGGCGCAGGGGGGGCGCGCACCAGGGGGCCCAACAATAATTATTCTTTAGAATAAATAATGTTCAACAACAGCAGCAGCAGCAGCAGCAGCAGCAGAGGCAGCAGCAGCAGCAGCAGCAGCAGCAACAACAACAACAACAACAACAACAACAACAATAAAACACAACAACAATAACCCTCGCCGTGGATCCCCACTTCAGCCACGCACCCAGGGACAGTGAATGACCGTTCGGCCCCCTCACTCTGATATACATATATATATATACATATATGTATAAATACCTATACTTGAGGAAGAAAAGGATATCATATGTCATATGTATCTCACTCGTATGTATGTCCTGTTTCTCTCTCTCTCTCACACTCTCCCTCTCCTCTGTGTTGATCCATCTCTCTCTCTCTTTCCATCCATCGCCCCCTCTCTACACATGCTTTATGACTGTCGTGTCCGAGTCATCGCTCCTCGTGCCTCGGAGTCCCTGACTACGCCCAAACGAGCAGCAGAACGAGTGTGAAACACAGGGCGCTGGGCGATCACCTACCCAAGCAGCGAGAGCGTCCTATCGCGTCCTATCACCACTCACCTACTTCTCATGCTTATGGCACATGTTCGGGGGACCCCTTGAGTCCTATCGCGCCGCTGTCCGCGCCGAGTCCGCATCAAATCCACGTCGACCGTCGAACCCATGCCAAATCCGAACTGGATCTGCTCCGAATCTGGGTCGAATCAGCGCGGATGCAAGAGCAATTCGCACGACAGACACGGTTCCCCGAAAATGACATGCAAACTCCTACCCCTCGCAGCGGCCCGCGTTGCCTCCTTGACGTTGGTCGGCAGGGGCTTCGCCTGAATCTTGGAGCCCGAGGAGTCCGCCTGAGCGGGTCGAAGGCGCGAGGGGGGGCGAACCAGTACCGCTGGTGGCCAGATGGTGCTGTGGAACGATGCGGCGGCCTGGCTCAGGGAAGTGTTGACTTGGAGGCGGCGATGCATCGTTGACAGATCGGCGATGAGCGGTCTTGAGTTTTTTACTCTCCAATTCGGCATGAGGCCGAAGGGGGGGAATGAGGGGTCTGCCTACAGGCTGGTCCTTAGTCGGCCTGATTAGCGGGTCCGCTGGGTGGGTGTTTGGCTTGGGGACGTCAGGCTCCTGGCCATCGCATCGCTGGTGCTGCGTGCTGCGCAATGGCTGTGCATGGTCGCGCAAGCGCTGTGCAGGACGATGTTTTTGAATGAATGCATCTGGCGTCCTCGAGGCCTTTCCTTAACTTTGCTGGGAGAGCCCCAGGAAGTAACGCTCAGTCGTTAAGGATTCGCGTGCCCAGATGGAGGGGAGCCCTGGCCCCAGTTGCAAAATCTTCATGATCGGACCAATCGCCCAAATCTTTACGATCTGGCATCGGAGGGGGACGAGGGCGGGGAACGCAGGGCCCGCGCCGACTGGCGAAAAGGTTCACAAACGACAGCTTATCTCGGGAAGCCGCGTATTCCTGGGCGGTGGAGGGGGCTCGGGCCCCGACCGACGAATGGGCAGTGGGGGGTCGGTGGTTCCCCTCCTGGGCCAGTCCGCCCCTGTCGCTGTC